TTGGAAAATGCATATTGTTCCATTTAAGCCTAGCTAACTGAGATTTGAATCATAGATTTGAATATCTAAAAGATTTCAAATGAAAAAGTTATCACCTATAAAATTGTAGATCTCGTCGAGACCTATAATTTCCATATAAAATTTGTCTCAATCCGTGTCAAAATGAAAAAATTAAGTTAAATTATGAGATGACAATTTTTTTATTGCAACGAATTTGTTGATCGTGGCAACAAAAAATAGTGAAATGTACCATGTACTATATAAATTGCCACAAAATTAAAAATTGTAGCGATAGAACATGTTTTTTACAACAGTACGATTTTTTGTGGCAATATCTCATTTTCTATTGCAACAAAAGTACTAAATAAAACAACGATTGTAGATCGTTGCAATAAAAAATAATTATTTGCCACCGAAAAATTATCATTGCAATAGTATAATATATTGCTACGAATTATTTTTTGTTGTAATAATTTGGTGGCAATAGCTCAATTATCTTGTAGTGCACGTCGTCATATCCAAGTAGCTCTTGTCCCCCGCCATGGTTCTCGAGTGTTTCGACCTAGTGGTGGAGACAAGGGGACACGACTAGTGGCCCTCCAAAAGTTTTTTAACACATATAATCACCTCACTAATTAGGTAATTAACCAAAGTAAGTAGCGTATTAGGCCCTTTCCGTATCTAAATCTTAGTTCCGCCTCTGTTTCAGCCTTATCGTGGTTCCGTGGTTTGTGCAACAAGGAGGCACGTGGACCCTCTCACAAGGCTATGGGTTAATGCCCTTCCTAGGAAAGCGCTGGCCCACTGTCAGCACAATGTAATGCCCTTCCTTTGAAACGAAGTGATCTGGCCAAGTAGGGACCACCTTGGCTAACAGGCTGACAGTAGCCCCTAGGACCACATCAAGGCGAGGAGTTACTGTGAGTGCATGCTATCCGGTCAAGGTGTCGCATCCTCCGCACCACGTGCCATTGTTACCACTTTTTCAGAGGGATTTGTGGATTCCTACCAACAAATACCTAAGACAGATTTCTTCTTCCTTCCGTTCCCCATAGGCAAAACCCTAAATTCACAAGCTCCCTAAAACCTAAGTCTCGAATCAATTCGGCCGATCTTCCTACCTCTTGATGCCGTGGCTGCAAGGTTGAGGAGTTACGCAACATAGCACCCCCCTCCCCTCTTGCCGAGTCCAGCTCCGCAACAACTACCACGTGCATCCCCAGCCCAAAGAGGTCATCATCTTCTCATTGTTCCTTCTAGTGGGGCTTGTTTCCCCGTTTTTGAATTCTTGCTGGCGATCCTAGTTTACTACAAGATCCAGCTTCTCCACCTGACATCAAACTCCACTGTCATCCTCATGACATTCATATACTTGTTTGAGATGTTTGTGGGAGTGGCATAGAGCATGGCTACGTTTTAACAGTTCTTCATCCTATGGTGGCTACCGAACTCGTCGTTGATTGGGTGTTGCTACTTCCAGCTCCGAGACAATACCATTGACTGGTACATCTCTGCGCCAATCAACTCCAAGTGGGAGAACTTGCATCAAAATTGGTTGCACCTAATTTGGTGAAGTGCCCTGGTGCTTCAAGTTGTTGACCTTGCACGCTATCACCCAAGATTCGTGGAAGGACCTCCAGTCGTTGACACACTCCAGAGCATCGGATTGATCGGACCCATGGTCCTAGGAAACGCACTTCGTCGTTGGCTCAGTATCTTGCGCAAGACAAAATACTTGGCAGCATACACCGCACCCACGTCGACAACAGTGACAACATCCCCCCTTCTCATGTTTTTGTAAATTGGGATGGGCTATTGACACCGATGTCCGTCGACACCGTCACACTATCACCTAGGTTGCGCCCCTTGTGAGCTTGTGAGCAGGTCACCATCATCAGGGTAAGTTTTATTGTTAAAAACCTATTGACCTTCATGGTCTTTTTGATCACTAACTGAAAATTTCATGTGCAAGGGCGTCCAATTCTAGATGCCTTTGGGCCAGCCCATCGGGTCCACTACATGTCGATTTCTATCCTGGAGGCCTTCACTGGTCCCGCCACCTCTTCCCCTACTACTGGGCACTTAACGACCGTCAACAACACCCCCACACTTATCCTTTACTCGTTCCTAAGTAAAGCTAATAGAACTTAGTAGAGCAAAGACTTCCTGTAATGATGCAAACATACAAAGTATTCCAAGCCATACTTGTACCTGTGAACTTTTGAAGTTTCTACCGTATCATCTTGGGTGGTTGAAGAATAGAACAACCTTGATTCAATTTGTCTTTACTTCCTCTACTTGAATTACCTTGGGGTTTTCGTCTTGCTCATAAAAATATAACTTTACCTTTACTCCTCAATTGACTCTCTCATAACACTCATTGTATTTAATCCTCACCAAGGAATTGATGTTGTCTTTTGTTATCCTACATTTCTTTATGTAGAGCTCAGGGTAGAGAATAAGAATGGCATATTTGCATCAAACATTTTGTAAAGTCAAAAAGTAGATTCAAGAAGAATACTAATCATACAACCATGATCAAGCTTCTGCACATGTGTGTGGAAAGGAATATGTATGTGCAAGGATGGGAAAAATGGAATGATGACTCATTTTTGTATGATTCTCCTCCCTATACTTTATTTAGAGAACCTAGCTATTTTATATATCTTTTTTTTTTATCATGCTCGAGAATATTTTGTCTCCTTCTCATATGAGCATTTGATTTTCTAACAAGAGTCTCAACCATTTGACCAAACTCAAAATGATATAAGCAGCATATGTATAAAGTTTATAATGAAGATTGACATATGGCTTTGGTAGGAATAAAACATTAATTAGGAGAAGGTAAAATTATATCTTTTTTTTATAAAATTCCAAAGGGTTCAATCAGAAGAAAGCAAGGGTCATTTTAACAGGTGACCTCTCATTTACCAATCACTTAGATGGCATGTGTTCCTAATGATATATGTTCACAAGCACAAGGTATCATGCGAGGAATAAAAGAGTATGCAAGACATTTGCAGGCAAGTTATATACTCTAGCTAGAATATCTAAGCTCATTTTAAAAGTTGAGTTTAATTTTCAGATGTGTCCATGATAGGAATTATCAAACTCAAAAGTTAGGGAGATGAGAGGATAAACATGCAAACACACTCGTGGGGGTTTGCACCGGGAGATTGTGGTCTTGCGAGATGCATGGCATCCTTGGAAACCCGTCTCCAAGAAAGTTTGGTGGAGGCAGTCGTCCTTGGTCTGACCAACGATGGGCAAGAGGCCTGGCTGCCATCCCAGGCTGCCAACATCAGGAATGAGCCTCTACTCAGGGTATCCTTTGAGGATATTTCCAACATGCCTAGGTCGCTCTCGATGCACTTGGAGCACAACCTGGTTTCTCGCAAGATGATACGGATGAGAAGTATGCCATGTCGTTCGGGAGGGTGACCGAGGCTTTAGAGAGGATTCCGGCCACCATGGACTAAAATAAGGAGTGTCGCTTTGTGACTGAGGCTGCGATGGAATACATTTTCGCTGGTTACTTTAGCCGCAACTTGGACTTCAACTTCTAGCTAGTGGAGGAGGGTATCCAGGTAGGGAGCCAGGTGGTACATTTCTATGCTCAGGCGATAGTCAAAGATCTCAACATTGGGCCAACCTCCACCCTACCATGCATGCACCACACCGCTAGAGTAGAAGATCCAAGAGTGACAAGTGGTTAAGCCCTTCAATAGATCATAATCAACATTTAAGACCTATCTCCTTTCATGGTAATGTCTTTGTACAAGGATTTTACAATAGGATACATGTATAAAACTCCCACTCCCACTCCCCCTCCAATCTCTCATGTCAAACCCCACCTCCGCCCCCCTCTCGGTGCAGGGCACCTTTCGTGCAGTTTCATCCCCATCTCTCCTCCTCACCAGATGATGTGGTGTGTTGGCTACGACGAGCAGGACAGCTCTGACATGAAGGGAGGCGGCTGAGGTGGCTTCAAGTCTAGGCAGCTTTGACGGCCTTGGCTGCGATGACAAGTGGTCATGACGGCTTCGATGTTGCCGGCTATGGCGGTCGGCTATAGGGGAAAGTGCCCAGTACAGCTATGGCGACCTCAGATGTGGCCTTGAGTGGTTGGGACAACTTCGGTTGTGTGGCTACGCTGATCCGGATCTTGTTGCGTGGCAATGTGGATGGCATTGGTGTTCCCTCCGATGTATCGACCCGGTTGGCCATTATCGTCGCAGCCATGCTTCTATGTAAGTAGCGACATGGGTGACGCCTGTGGGCACCACATACCTTCCTGGAGGCGATGTTGGGATGCCCAATCTCTCATTTGTGTCATGGGTAGACTCTCCGGGTGAAAACCTTGTTTTGGATGTCCAGAATAGTGATGGATTCATTATGTCACAACTTCTTGAAGACATCGTATTGGAGGTTCTCTGATGGTGGGATATTCCAGTGGCGTTGTCCCCATCGGACGGGTTCGATGGCAAAGGTGCTAGTAAGATCTGGTGAATGAGAAATCTACGGCTCAGATACTATCTGATGTTTTATTCCACTTTGGTTCAACATTGGTTAGTCGATGGTAATATAGGAGTGAAATTCAACCGACAAAGGATTGGTTGCTGGTTTTCGGATAGTCTGCTTTTCTGGTTTGAGGAAGACAAGAAATACGTATAACTTGTAATCCGTTGGTAGAGACAACGGTTATGCATACCCTAACCAACTATAGATATAGAATTATGTCTTTAAGGTGGTATTCTTGGTAGTTTTCTACTACCTCCGTTTCAGGTTATAAGACTTTCTACCATTGCCCACATTCATATAAATGTTAATGAATCTAGGCACACATATATGTCTAAATTCATTAACATATATATGAATATTGGTAATGTTAGAAAGTCTTATAATATGAAACAGAGGAAGTAGTTTATAATCAAGCTATAATTTTGTAATTCGCAATTATTCGACCTGCAAACACATAATAATTGATTGCAACTTCTACGAAGTAAAGGCCAGAATGAATTCCATTATGTTAAAAAACATATTTGCAAAACAGGGCATCTGACCATTGTTCCATGCATTTTGCCATATACCTATAGTAAAGTTCGTCACACATTTGAATCTATGGCGTGGAAGAGAATTTTATTTGATGAGCAATTAACGAAAGGACAACACCTATGACTAGAAAAGTTTTGCTATATGCCTAATTGTACTGAACATACGGTTGCTAGCTAGAATGTTTCTAAATGATTTCGAGGCTTTGAGCTATATACATCTTCAAATGAATTGAAGTCCCAATTTCAGTATATGCTAAATACTTGATGCATGTCCAGAGAAGAATCACATGGACGGTGTTACCTTTTCTATTCATAAATGTACACCTAAATCTTCCTGCTTCTCTTGTATTTGTATGTGTTGAACTTCAATCTCACCAGAAACTGAATTGGTGGGGAATGGATCTGAAAGGTTAACTTTTCTGAAAGCCAAGTAGATCAGAGCAGCAATATAGGCTGCCATGAAAGGGAAAACAAGGCTGCTAATTATTGCATTAACAACCCTTGGAAGGTCGCTATGAACAAGCCAAGCGACAAAGCTAGTACAGAAGAAATAAATATTGATTCCAATAATCACCAATGACAGTATCCACGCGATTCGGATAATCTACATAAAAGAGTAAAATTCCCAAGAGTTAAGAAGAATGAGTTCAATTTGATGACAAATGTATGCCATTTTAAGACAACACAGGGAATAATGAAAACTATGGTGTTATTGAGGAAGTAAAAGTTATTCTATGCAATAATGCAAATTATGTTGAAGATTTCCGATTATCTAGTAATTAAATGGAAATAATTCTTCAAGTAACTGTGATTCATTTGAAGTAAAACCATTGTCTAAAAATATGGATGCAGAATATAATAACACAACAAGAAACGTTACTACCTTGAAATTACTCTCACTCTAGAATTTGAACCATAATTATATACTCCAATGTTTACTGAAACACCATGCTATGAGGTAATTTTACAAATTGAAAGCTCTAACATAGTAACATGCATTCGTGATCAGCCTACAGTTCTAGTTGAGATTTCAAATCTCATATATTCACTCTTACAATGGGATATATGTAACGCCCATGTTCCAACATGCACATGAACCTAGACTTGATACACCAGAACTCTACACATGGATAGCCATATAGTAGTTCTTAGACTATCATAACAAAGTAATTAAATTATATGTTGCTACATTTGGTCCCTAGTTGATATAGTGTTTCATTCTAAGAGTATAACTATGAAAGAATTACCCATAAATCATTTTGATATGAATGAAAGACATAGATTTGCAAATATATTTCAACCATAGAGTATCAGACAGGGAAGAACCAACAATCACCACTGTCTACCAACTCCATTTTATGCAAATAAAGATATACCTGGCTGGAACTAGAATCTAACATTATTTTTTCTTTCTGTTGCCATCTATACACTAGCTCGTATTTGCACCCCTTTTCTAAAAAGCATTGGCATGTTATTAAGTGGAAAAATATATTATATATATATGAGAGATGCTAATTATTATTTATCCAATGATTTTATGGTTTACATGTTGGCACATAAAAATAGCAGCAGGGACATCAATTTATCAATAAGAGAAGCTGGGGAAATATTGTGTGTCAAACTCAATGCAAAGTGGACACTGAGGAAATGGGGGTATGTGCACAAAAGAAAAATGTTCATGAAAAGGGGACTATCATGCTTATAGCTTCTATTTACAACTGTTTAGAAAAGAGGAAAAGAGTCTGCTAATTAGTGTTTTTTCCCAGCACAAACTACTTTAGAGTTGTATAGTTACCAGTGGTAAGTAAGGCGTATAAGTTATTTACATATGTACAGCAATAGCTGGTCACAAAAGTGAAATGAATTGTGTAAGTGGCAGTGGGGAGGTTGAAGAAATTTGGTTGGTCAAGGCCAACCCACTGCACTGTATTCCTTTCCATGAGTGCTTATTTGCCCTTGGCACATTCACATGTTGAGCTTGGACCCACATGTAACTGAGAGAATGAGGGACGTGCATATCAACTTTTAGGGGCAAATAAGGTTCTAACATTTTGGTTTTTTATTGTTCCATCTGTAACTTTTAGATGCCCTGGTAAGAGTGTATCATACAATAATTTGTAGTGTACGATCCTACATACATCTAGCACAAAAATATCTTTTTTCTTAATTTACAATTATCCGCTAACATACATAAGGGCATTTAGATTTCTCGTAAAAGATATTTTTCATGTTATATATATATCATAAATTCTCTAGGACATAATTATACATACAAACTAAATGAAAGTTATGTAATGGAAATGGACTATGATCGTGTCCAAAATGACTAGTATAACCAAACAGATAGAGTATGTCATAAACAAATTGAATAGTAAAAACTGTTTTAGCAAGCTTACAGATGTTGCATTCTTGTATGGTCCTATATTTGTGCAGCTGCTACTGAATTTAATGAGTGGAATTAGAGCAAACGGCAGCACAAATGATAGTACAATCTGCATCACAAAAAATCACATTACAGAACATATCATAATTATTACACTCGTTTAATCTATGGATTTTAAAGTTCCTATTAGTGAAATATAATATGTTTTATTCAACATTGTTTGAATTTTTGTGTCATTGTGCCTATACCTAGCTTATGTTAGTTGATAAGAAGAGATTATCAAGAGAAATTACCGCAGCTATGTTGATAATTCGATGCACTCGTAAAGTACCACCAATGCTGCAAATTATCAAACTAGGTAATAAGGTGAAACAAGGAGCAACAAGATATATGATGCACTTTCTCATTCCGGAGAAGCCCTGTAACAACATTTGGTAAATCTTGCATGAAGAAATTTAGGGAGGAAAAAAATACAGAAAATCCCCATTTGGATACTGATATGAAACTAGAGCTTGGCCAGATTTCTATCTATTACCAGTTGTAACTAAATATTTTAACACAGAAGTTACATTTCAATTTTTCTAAGCAAAGTTACATTTCAAATTCAGTAGGCATGCAATTAGCTCGAAATATTATTTGGTAATATTGAGATGATACATCTTCTGAAGGTATGTACTACTAGGTTTATCCTTGAGGCCCTAATCTAATCTACTCCAGTAATTAGGTAAATGTACCTGCATGATGTATTGGCCAGCATAACTCGTAGCCACCATGCAGCTCTGTCCAGAAACTAATAAGGCCACACCATACACAGTTGAACTTGATTTTCCCAAAATATTCTGCATCACAAACATATCAAAGATAGAGAATGAGGAAGAACTAGTAAAATGGTACACTTTACTAGTTTAGGTTTCCGTTTATATAATTTTGTGGCCTGGTGTTTCCTTTTAGTTGTGAAACATGTATACAGTAAGATTACTGCATGTATTGCTACACGTTCAGTATTGCTATTTAGCTCCACAATACTAAAATACTGTCAGAAGTCAGAACCCCCTAAGGCTTATAGTTTTCAAATGTAAGGTCAATGACATCCTAAAAGTGTTCTATTGAATACAAACCTTGAGTAGTACATAAGTTGAATTCAATGTTAGACTGCTGCACGTGCTTGTGTCGGCAAATGAGAGATTGTTGGCACATATAGTACCAGATATTGATACAATAGCGACATTTACAAGTAGTGCAATGAACAGAGCTAATGCATTCTCAAGCAAGAAGAATGTAGAAGCATCCTGCAAGAAAGTGAATTCAAATTATATTACGAAGAAATAATGACTGTTTGAACAGAAATATAAAGAGCTAGAAAAAGGGAAAAAAAAACCTCCTTTTGAGGATTGTCATAGACTTTCTATAGAATACTGAAATACTGAAATTATTAGGTAGAGTTCATTGTACTTAAAAATAGAGTTTTTCATGTTATATATGCTTATTCATTCATGGTTGAAATTCCTCAATAATAACATGAAAGTAAACGAAAACTTTTGTTCAAATATGCTATGTCTCATACGAAAATGAATAATCTAGAGGTACTGGTATAGAATTATAGCCCATATACTAAGGGGCACTGGACAGACAAAATCAACATCAGTTTAGAGAAAAAAGTAAAAAGAAGTAGCCTATTCCAGAGGTTAAAAATTAATTTTAATTTTAACATAAAAAATATCCTTTTACCTTGCGTCCTTTGGAAGTATATGGCATTTTTCTCGTTAGCACCAAAGAAGAATGTAGGAAGAGATTATGCCTAATGTTATAAAAGAACAGAGCAAGTTAGTGAAATATACCTTTTGCTTTACATCTGACGGGGTAGCCACAATAATACCTTTTAAAGAGTGTGAAAGACCTTTCAAAGGTTTTTTTTTTATATAACAGATATATAACTTTTAAATTAGTAAAACCTGAATTATAATCGTTAACTAATTGAAAAAAAAATGAAAATAATGATGTACAACTAAAAAGTAGTGGCAATGAAAAAGAAAATTCATTTGAATTTTCAGAGACAAAAGTATAATCATAGTTCTAAGATAATCATTAAAATCATTTAATGTGGGAGTGATACTTACGGAACAACAAGAGAACCAAACATAGCAACCGCATCTGAAGTAGAATAATCCCCTTTGGGCCTTGGGATAAAAAGCCCCTCAATTACCCCACCAGCAGGAGGATTAACTTTGCCAAGTTCCATAAAAAAGCAAGTAGCCATCACCAACATAAGAACTGATATAGTGAACTCCATTTTCCGAGCCTACAAATTAAAAGGATGATATGCATGTCAATCTGCTGGCTGATACAATCTAAAACATATTTTACCTTTCATAATGTTAATAAGGTGGAAATAATGTACAAAAACTATATACCAAAAAAAAAAAATGTGTGATCTCTCTCTCATCGAAATTCCCATTCATTCAACTATCTGAAATGAATGCCAGTATTATTTATCTCAGATAGTATATAGTTATTTCGGACAGTAGAATGAATGGGAATATTTTGTATATATTTTTTAGCGGAAATTATTTTAAGTACAATTTTGCATATTCCATTAGTGAATGTCCACTTCTCACACATACCATTTATTTTTGTGAGATCAGGTTTATGCCACTTCTATCAAGCCACATTTTGCTTATGCCATGGAGGTTCTGGCTGATTCAGTCAAAAACCATTGTCTGTCAACTGACTATTTTGCCACTGTCTTCTGCAGTGTATTTTCTCCCTCGTCTTCTTTCACATTCTCTACGCTCACATCAGCTTTCTCTACCTCCACCTCCACCACCAGTCAACGCTGACAAGTTCCTCCATATTTGGATGCTTCACAGCACAATGGCGTTATCCTCCATTTTCTCCATCCTTCAAGGAAAAGGTCCTGGCTAATGCAGGTGGAGAGGGAGGAAGCAGAAGATTCACGGAGGGCAGTGATAGTGCAGGCTGATGAATGTGGGGAAATGTGGCTTGATGGAAGAGTAGAATCAACAAGAAGTCACAAGAATTAGTGACAAATATGAAAAGTGGACATTCACCGTTGACAAAATTTTCCTTTACTTTTTTCCTGAAAATATCATATTTAGTGAGCTCCTTAATTGTGTTTTTTTATTGAGTAAATTACACTAGCGGTCCTTAAACTTGTAACGAGGTTTCACTTAGGTTCACGAACTTGCAAAACGAGCATCGAGATCTCTAAACTTAGTTTAATGTATCATCCCGGTCTAAAGCCTCGTTTGACCGTGGTCTTGCCTACGTGGCATGCCACGTGGACGATGACATGTATTTTTTTTTATTTTTTCTCCCTTCTTCCTTCTTTTTTTCTCCCTTCTGCCGCTGACAGCCTGTCAGGGCCTCACTACTCTCCCCTCCTCTCTATCCTCTCTCTTCGGCCAATTAAGTGAGACCAGTGTTGTGGATAACGGTTGGTACGGCTGTATATTCGGACGTCAAAATGGTGGCGCTGACCTCTCCGTCACGTTTTAGCAAAACGGTGTACATTAGTCATTTCAGGATGTATAATCACCATCATTAGCGACTAATCGGCCGTATCCGACTAATCGGCCGAATAAACGGGCCTAATCACGTGACAAGGCAAGCCCAGCCAGGCCACGATAACTATACTGGCCCATTAGTTATGTAACCTAGCACTATATAGCTAACAGAACGTCGTTTGCAATCCCAAAATCCTCGCAGCTCATTCCTACCGCTACAACCTGCAAGTCTATGGTTAGTTCTTTTCATCTAAACCTCTTTCAAATCCAATCTACCATATTTTTATGTCGAGTTAATGTCATGTTATCCTTATTTTTATTTAAGAATAGTAGGTATATATGTAGTTATATGCATTTATCTGTCAAAAATAATAAGCTATTATGATTTATGAGTTATGTACATATATTTGTCCAAAACATTAAATTTCCGTCAAATTCCGATTACTCATCCGTACTCCGATTAATCGTTTAGCGGTACCCTCTCCGTCCGACATCCGTATTCCGTCATCCACAACACTGAGTGGGACGGGCGGCCGGCGACCGAAGCGGGTGACAGGCGGGTCGAAGCGGGGCAGCCGGCCGGCAAGGTTAGCTAGGGGGCGGGTAGGCCGGCGGCGGCAATGGCTTCATCTCCGCCACCGAGCTCGCGCGCTCCATGGCCAACACCTCCCCTGGCACGCACGGCCGCAGTCGGCGACCCCTCCCCGGGCGTGGTCGGCGACACCTCCCCCCGCGTGCCCGTGCTGCTCCTATCCTCTCCGGCCGCCGCCCGTGTACGCACACCGCTCCTCTCCTCCCGTCGGCCGGCGCCCGCGCACACGCGCCGCTCCTCTCCTCCCGCCGGCCGGCTCCCGCGCGCTGCTCCTTTCTCGTCGGCCACCCCGCCCGTCGCCGCTTCGGTCGCCGGCGAAAGTGAGGGAAAAGTAAGGTAAGAGAGGCCCTGCCAGTACCTGTCAGTGGCAGAAGGGAGAAATTTTTTTTAAAAAATCCATGTCATCGTCCACATGGCATGCCACGTAGGCAAGACCACAGTCAAACGATGCTTTGGACTAGGATGATACATTAAACCAAGTTTAGAGATCTCGATGCTCGTTTTGCAAGTTCGTGGACCTAAGTGAAACCTCGTTACAAGTTTAAGGACCGCTAGTGTAATTTACTCTTTTTTATTTTATAAGCAGAGAAAAATTCTTACCCCATATCCTTGTAACCCGAGAATTAGGAAAGTGCATGCCCCACATGCTAGGACACCGGCCCAGAAAGGGATGTGGAGTAGCATGTTGTAGGCTAAAGCAGTTCCTAAAACTGCACAAAGACCACAGAAAGCACCATGAACCTTGAAGAATTTAAATACAGAAGATAAAACTGTAAAGTTCTGTAAGATTTATAAAGGAGAACTGTAGTGTATAGTGCAGATCTTGTAAGCCTATGTCAAGAAATAGATTATAAAAAATGTGATCAAGATAGATAAGTTAACTGGCACACAAGAAAATAACTCCCACCAGTTACATAAACATGTTATCTTGGACATTGACATGGTCTCCATAGTGCAACATTAGATGGTAATTTCTAATACAATATATTTATTATAAACCAGCAATATAATACTATAAGGAACTTTCCACAACAAATCTATTTAGAAAGAAATATGACAATTTAAAGTTTTGAAAGTTTGACTTAGCACATGTCCAAATTGATTTATGTGACCAGTGGGAGTATTTGATTAAGAAATAAAGCAAGATAAACACATGGAAACCCTATACCGTGAGAGTAACATTCTCATAAACCACACTATTGGTGTTTCTATCTTCAAAATATAATTAGAGTTATATGCAATAATCATCAATATTTTAGATAATGGAATATTTTATTATCCCGGCCACTGCACCCAGAGATGGACAAAGCCATGATCACTTATTTACAAGTTTTCCATGCCAAGAAGAATAAACCAAACATAAAGCAACATGCTACAGATGTTGATGAAACACAAAATTTCAGTTCGCTTACAACCTATTGCTCAACCACCAGCCGTAGTTATTGAATAGCTCTATTAAATTTATAATTCAATAAAACAAACTCTGCACAAGGAAGTTCATTCAAAATATTAACCTAATTTATGGATTACCCCCATGGTTTATACATGGACAACAAATATGCTGTAAAAGAGGATACTATTTTTCCAAGTAACAAGTAAAAATAGTATTTCAACTTTTATAGAAAGCAAAGACAAACAACAAATACTGATACATACCTCCTGGTATAGTGGCAGCAATAACACCAAGCTCTGCTAGTAACCATAGGCAGTACTTGACATACTTTGGATATTCACCCATGCACAACTCAGCGAGGTGCCTTCCTACAATATATTTATATGGTAAGTTTCATAGAACATGTATTTTTGTCACCAGCTTGATAATATGGGTAGTTAGTTTCACCTGTAATGATACCCAAATTTGCTGCCAATGATTGTACAGTCAACACAAATATGAACCCAAATAGGAGTACCCATAGCAACTGAAAATTTTAAAAATGAATGAAGGAGAAGTGAGATGGCAAATCTACAATCAATTGACAAAAATGTATAACATAATATTCCACAGAAATTTTGAGAGCTTTATACCGAATATCTGTGGCTGGATCCAGCTACCAAATCAGTCTGCACTGTTCCAATTTTCAAAGTGAAGTAGTTCAATATATTAGTACTAGAAAAAGAAAACGGTGGTATATGAGCATGTCCTGCCTAGGAATTCTAGTGGTATCCATCCATGTTCCTTGATCCTATTGTTGAATTTACCAAAGCCATTTATGACTTAAAAATGTCTTTTTCTCACCATGCATGGATGGATGGACACAAACTGGTGAGCAGAGACAGGCATAGTTCTAGTCCAAGGAAGATTGAAGGACAAAGGGGACTTACAGTTACTAGGATCAAGGTATGCGATGGAGATAACAAATCCAGGACCAACATGTGCAAGAAATCTCTTCCAAGTGGGTGCCTGCTCTCACAGATATAAATTACTAAATGGACTCAAAAAGTTCTGAAAAAAAAAGTTGCATGTTGCAGTATTTACAACTTAAATATTTTTTCCCTGGTGGAATAAAGTTCAATTGTCTTGTAATAGATGGTTTTACACTGTTTTAAACATTAGTTTTTCCCTAACCAGTTAATCTTTTATGTAGGTAATGCATATATCAGAGAACTACAAGTGAAATATTTTTCTAAAATTTGGAAGACATCTAATTTTAAAAATTCAAGAATTGTTTGATCCTTGAGCTAGATTGCCACATTAGAGCCATGTTAATCAAAGCAACTCTAAATTTGGGCCAAAGTTGAAAACTGAATGAAATACAAGTTCAAGGGTATATACTTCATGGTTTTGAAGTTTACGATCGATAATTGTTTAACTCTATGAAAGATCATGATAATAAAATGGTTTTTTTCTTTTCTTTCTTTTTTCTCGAAAACGTAGGAGAATTGTGTTTCATTTCATTAAGGGGAAGAAAAAACAAAGTAGAAAATATTTACAAAGTAGGAGGACCCGAGCCCTCCCACCGAGACCCACGCACCCAAGACCACACCGAGGAGCGCTAACTGCCTAGGTTAGCCATCCCACTGAGGAGCTTTTGAAGTGCCAAAGCTCCTGCGGAACACCAAAGATTACTCTTGTTTTCTACCACTTGCAAGACCGAGACACCCTCGCAATTTTTGTTGAACCCATGTTATAGTAGGGGTGAACTGTACTTTTGCGGCACTAAATAGAGAAAAGAACATGTCACTGACAAATGACGGTATAAAAGGAAAGAAAAGCCATTGTCTGATATTATATTGTGAAATTCATGTTCGTCGATGGTATTTTGTAGAACACAACATTTGTTGATAGCATATTGTAGAATAAGTCATAATACAAAGTCAGCTACACCAACGTGAAAGGAATGACACTAAAATCTCAACTCGGCAATACGCGAGTGAGTTGAATTGGCTTACTCCTAAATTTTTTTTTGGGGAATACGGCTTACTCCTAAATTGAAGCCCAAGAGAAACATGCCTAACCGATGTCGGTTGATAATCATTATTGCAAGAAAACATCCTTGCCAACTACTCGAAGAATAATCAAACCATGGCAAAACTAAGTAATATACCACAAAAAGGGTCTATTATTTTGTAACCAGACGAAGAGATGATACGATCTACGGTCGAGCCAACAGATTTCCTATACAAAATATTCTAGCAAAGCCAAAAGTCCTCATTGTTATCAGAAATTTTGATTAGTGCCTGTTTCTATCCCCGTTTGAGGAAAAGTCTGTGCTAATTTTACAAAGCAGAGTACATAGAGATCATCAACCGTACATATTCATTTCAGAAATCAATCAAACGGATATTCCTCAGATGTCTGAATTGGCTGAGGCAATCGTGCTACACATGGTTTGCTTCCTACTTGTGCGGACAGCAGGAGAGAAGAAGAAATTGACAGCAGGCAGCCTAGCAGAGGAGGAAGAAAGGAAGAAGAACAAACTAACCTGGACATCGCCGTGCAGACCGCCGTGTTGCCGCGACGGCGAAGCCCCTGCGGCTGCGGCGACCTCAATCTCAATCTCGTCCCCGCCACCGCCGCTGCCGCCACCGACGGCCGCGACCCTCCCGCTACCGTTCACCCTCCCGTGCTGCTGCTGCTGCTGCTCGTGCTCCCTCCCGATCTTCGCCCCCTCCTCCATTGCTCTGTCTCAGTAGCGCAACTAGTGGTGGTGGTGGTTGACCATTAACCTGAACCTGGCGAGGCCAGCACCAGCTCCGGTTGCCGCAAGAAAAGCAGCAGCTGCCTGCATGCAATACGGGTCAACTCCGCGATCCCTCTGCATATCTGTACTTCTCCCAACGTACACTCGGTGTATTCGAGATGCGACGCAAGCATCGAGGACGAAAGTCGTCGGCTTGGGGGCAGGAACAGCACTCACCTAACCCATTCCCTCTCTCAAAACCCCCTCCAACCCAAACAAATGCCCATTGTTTAATGCCCGCCGATGGCCTCTCGCTTCCGACGTACAGCTCCCCTTGTACGGCATGATGCGGAATTGCGGATTACTGGTGCAATCGACGGTACGGATCGAGGTGGTGCGTCAATTGGACATTTGGATTGCGGAGGAGGCTGACAGCGACCGGATCCGCGGGGTCCATTGGGGGCGCCGGTGGGTGCGCGGTGTGCGTCTCTCACAGCTGGACAAGGCCGCGACAGCCGGCCGGGCGACGTACGGCAGGCAGTCCGGATCAGCTTCTTGCTCTGCTGTGGATAGAATATAGATAGGGATCGCGACAACCAGTTGAGGACAAATTGTAAACGCCAAAAATTTACAAATGCCGTCGATGTCTTCGGTCTCTCTAGAAACTCGACAAGAAAGCGGCGACGCTGGCCGCAGGCTCCGCAAGAAGGCGGTGTCGGCGCCGACGAACCTCACGAGGAGGCGATGAAGATTTGGGGATTTTGGGACGATGGGTGCGCTGATTGGTTAGGAGCGATGACGGAGGGGATCGGGGTGATGCGGCTATGAGGCGTAGACGGATGGATCGATGAACCCGTGGACATCGTCCCGGACGGTGCATGAAGGGTGAGGTCCTGTAGTACTGTAGCAGGCTTTCTGGGCTGAGAATCGTCGAAGCTGAGAATCGTCGATTCACTGTTGGTAGTGGGTCACAAAAACTAAAGATTTAATATGATCTCGGTGCCCTATATTGATAATAGTTGAAAACAATCTGAATCATTATCTGAAGCGTTCAGATTTTTTTTTCTACCACCATCCCACTTAACTGTAGTAGAAATATTTAGGGGCATAATTGTTAAAAAAAGTTACGGAGGGGTAAAATCATCCTTTAAAGTTGACTAAACTTAGCACTTCCCCTCAATCAGCCGTCGCATCCGCCACCGATGCCGAGCATCCGGTGTCTAGTGTCTCCTCCCCACCAACGCCTCCACCACCAAAAAATTGCTTATCGTACCCATTCATGTTAGGACGCTTGATCAAGGCGCATGCCCGATCTCCACTTCGTGTAACCAAACCGGTTAAGTCATGTATAACTTATCTGGACTCCACGCCATTTCACGCACCGGATATTCGAAGTGTTTACAAAAAACAAAACAGAATTTACTGCAGCAAAACAAAACTGCAAAAAGGAGACCACATCTACGTAAGGGTAAGGAACCAATTTTGACAAACCATCTGACACCGTACGTTGTGCACGCGCACCGCCTCGCTAGGACAGGCCAGGCGAGCGAGTGCGCGCGTGTGTTCCCCTTGTTCTCTCCACCTCACATGCCTCAAGTAGCTAGAAGAGTATCCTTCCTTATAAGGAGATCTTCCTCTCCTAGAATGAGCAAGGTGGTACTAAACTCCCCATGCATGCCATCCTATGAGGTGGGCTTTTCTGATTTTCCAATGAATTAATCTTCGAATGGGCTAAGGCCCATCTATTAATTCCAACAACCCCCCACCAAATCTAAAAAACCCACTGAAATTTGCCTTTTTCAATGTATTGTTTATATACCAGCGGTTCGATGGAGACCAATTAAGGTTGAATATCCACCTAAAACTCCAAGCTACACTTACTCACAACTTGAACAATGGATTACGCCTTGAAGCAAGGCTTATACAAGCAAGTTTCACTCAGAGTCTTATCTGGTACTAGACCGTCAGTCATAGTACAAAAAACCGGACCGGACCGGCGGTTGAACCAGGAATAAACCAGAGCCGACCACCTTGACGGCTCAGTTCTGCTAAAAGACCGCCCCTGCAATCGAACAAGTAAAAAACCGTGAACCGGCCGGTTTTTGCTTGAACCGGTGAACCGGTGGCAGGTTTTAAAGTATCGAACCGGTTTTTATTTTTCCTATGGCAGTATGACATGATTAATTTATTATGTTACCATACCACATTTATTTTTTTATGTTGTGACCATGTAATAATAGATATATTGGTTTATTTATGCATATTTTCACCAATTTGTGATGGTTCTATATTAAAAATAATGAAAATCAAATATAATAGTAATAAATAAAACCAGTGATTCAACCGGTGACCGGTGAACCGACAGCCCAAGCGGGTTGTCCTCCGGTCCATTTTTTGTTACTATGATGTCAGAAGAATACCCCTTGGGTGGAGCGTATAAGTCATATTCTCTGGTCTCTTAGTAAGCTTACTAGAAGATTCACCCAAAATCTCCATCGACTGCGACCAACAGTCAATCTCACAAAGGTGCATTCTTTCAAGAAAGCTCTGCAGGATAGCATCTTCGTTAATTAAAGCCAACAAAACTCATCACGACATAGCCAACCTGTCTTGCAGCTCATGAGAGTACATGCATCTTCACTTAGTTAACTAATAGTCTGTTTACAAAACCTCCATGAAATAGCACCACTACCTAGTGTTAAAACATATCCACTAGGTGCCAAGTTTCTCTTCTCGGCAACCTTGTGAGGCTTGCAAGGTTGCTTTGATTGCACACAATAATGACACTTAGAACCTTTGACAATGGAGAACTTAGAAATTTATCACATACCGAAAAGCCGAGACATCAAGCCAAATTTAATATGACATGAACGTAAGTGCCGAACATTAGCCTCATCATCCACACTGCCACAAATATGGTTCACAGACTTATTGCAGAAATCAGAAAGGGAAAATCGGAACAGGCCTCCGCACTCATAGCCTTTTCCAATAAAATATCCAAGTTTAGACACGACTACTTTATTAGACTCAAATACCAACTTAAATCCGTCTCTACATAGACGGGAGCCACTAACGACATTCCTGTCGATAGTAGGAACATGTTGTACGTTTTTCAGCTGCACGATCTTTCCCGAAGTAAACTTCGGATCTACCATGCTAACACCATGAACAAAAGCATGTGACCCATTCCCCATTAGGACGGCAGAATCCCGTGCGACCTGATAAGAAGAAAACAATGAGATGTCAGTAAAAACATGTACATTAGCCCTTGTATGAACCCACCAGTTAGTAGACTAATTAACTAAAAAATAGTAGGTAAAATACCATACCGGCTTCCATCTCCAGTGTTGCCAATGGTCACATTGGCAGACTTTGAAGTCTGCCCTGCAGGTGGCATCATCCCCTTGCGTTGTGGACACGTCTTGGCCAGATGACCAGACAAGCTACACACAAAGCATGTTCTCTCATCCTGGTTTGGATTGCTATTGTTATTCATCTGCTGCTTGAAGTTGGTGGTCTGTGAGGTTTGTATTTCTTTTTATTCTTGTTTTGGGCCTTGTGCACAACATTGACACTAGACTGCCCATCATCGCCCTTAGACGCGGCTATTTTTTTCCCAAGCTTTCTCCTCAACATCAAGAGATGCTATCAACCCCTCAACGGAGTATTCTTGTCTCTTGTGTTTGAGTGCAGTACCAAAACTTCTCCAAGATGGAGGTAGTTTCGCAATAATTTACCCGGCCACAAATTTGTCAGGTAAGACACACTTAAGGAGTTCAAGTTCCTTAACCATGGTCTATATTTCATGAGCCTGCTCAACTACATAACGGTTGTCAACCATCCTATAGTCATAAAACTGCTCCATGACGTACAGATCACTGCTAGCATCAGTAGCACCGAATTTGTTATTCAATGCATTATCCCACAACTCCTTAGCGTCGGTCATGTGCATATATACCCCGACCAGACGACACTAAGAACGCTAAGAATGCATCCTACAAAGAGAGTAGTGGCCTCCTCGAATTCTTTCTGCTTTTGAGTAGTGAGAACTCATTCAGGTTTGCCATTACTAACCCAGAAGCATTTCATAGCCATCAGCCACAAAGTGCCCCTTGATCAGCCCTCTCTTAAAGTACACACCGGTGAATTTGTCCGACCTAGTACATCGGCAAAACCAGCTATAGTAAAACCACGGTTCCTATAATAAAGTTTTTGGATTGTTGAATATATAAGCACATAATGATTTAATTTATTCTATAAATAAATCATGACATTGTAGATGTAAACTAGCATAATCGCATCATACGATCTACACGTGTAAACTAGACGGTAAACCATGAATAGATTGAATATGCGAAACATGCTAAATGCGTATCGAGGGTTTTGGAAAATCGGTTGCCCAGCAAGAAGGACTCACGGTACCATGCGTTGATGACGGCGCGCAGCACGTGAACGAAGAGGAAAACGAGCCGTTGTGGACGAACAGGAAGCAGTCGTGCGAAGCGCTTCCCAAAATCCTTATTGTCACCTTCTCCCAGTGCAAGACGTCGAAGGCTATAGTTCCGAAGACCTGCTCTCCTGATCGCCGGTGCATGTCGGCGAGTGGGATGGAGTAGTCTACGAGCAACGGCGCGATGCAGAGGAGGAGGCAAACCCTAGATTGATTTTGCGTGCGTTGCATGGAGGCGGGGACTCAACTTATATAGAGATATCATGTCACTTGATCAGGGCGCCTGCACGCTCTCCACTCCGCGTAACTGAACCGGATAAGTCGCACGTAACTTATCTAGACTCCACGCCGTTTCAAGCACCGGATTATTCGGAGTGTTTCCCAAAAAAAAACAAAAAACAATTTCATGCATCAAAATAAAACTGCAAAAGAAGACCACATCTGCGCAAGAGTAAGGAACCAATTTTGACGAACTATTCGACGTGTAGTCGTGCATGCACCTCGCCTCGTGTATTCCTCTTGTTACCTCCACCTCACATGCCTCACGTGGCTAGGAGAGCATCCTCCCATAAGGTGGCTTTTGTGATTTTCCAAAGAATTAATTTTTGAATAGGCTAAGGCCCATCTATTAATTCCAACAGCCTCATGATGTGTTGTTTTGTGCACCTTCTATCCTCACCGGTAGTATGGCTCTATCATTGATGGTGACATCTTCTTACATAGATCTGTCAATCGAGGTCAGTTTGAGCATGTAGCAGCCTTGCAGGCAATTGAGCTTATTAACCTGTGTTTTAACTGAAATTTTATCTTTTCAGGTTGTATGGGAAGATACCAGGGCAAAAGTAAATCTGCATCCCATCTTGTAGTTCTATGGCTTTTCTGGGAGAGGTTAAATAACATGTACTTGTAATAGTACGGTTTGTGTTAAGTATTTGCCAGTTTATTGGTCCGTTGCCTTCTGCTCATCGCTGTTAAGTATTTACTGGATATTGCATGTATTCGAATTGGATAAAACCGCGTTATTTTCTCCCAGAAGAACTTGCGAGCTGCAAATCTACAACTAAAGCAGATATAGAGATAGGCCTGTTATAGAGGCGGGCCCAAGGTATTCAAAATAGGAAAAAATCCAATTTGACTCCCTTAAATATACGTCGAATCTTATTCATATCCTTAAACCACAAAACCAAATATGATGACTTCTTAAACTATTAAAACCGTCTAAAACGACTCCCTCGGCTGTTTTAAGAGTGGTTTTCGCTGACGTGGTGTACATGTGGCCGCCTAGTCATCAAATAAATTAAAAAAAGTTAAGCTGGCCCACATGTCATCCCCTCCCTTTAATAACCTCTCTCTCTCCCTCCTTTCTTCTTCTCGGCCCCTTCCGCCTCGGCACTGGCGACGGCGGCGTCCGGCGGCAAGTGTACGGTGTCGAGGGCCCGACAGCGAGGGCGTCGCTTGCGGCTGCTGGGCCCGACGACGAGGGCGTTGACTGCACAGTGAGATCGACGAGATCCTCGACCTAGCGGAGGCCCAGCCTTTCCCCACGGCGTTTCTGGCCGCTGCCCGCCTCGACAGTGCCCTCCGTGTCGCCATGTCGCGCATGACCTGCACCTCGCCGTCGACAAGCTCACGGTCGGTGCTTCCGCCAACGCCCTGTGGACACGCCTTAGATTGTCTCCAACAGAGAAGGCAAAACGCAAAACAGCCTCCAACAGACAAAGCAAACAGAGGAGGCATTTTGCATATGAGGAGAGAGGGAACGCAAAATTGCCGTCTCTCTCCAAGACGCAATCGTCCACACGATGTGGCGGTGAGCTCGAAGATTCGCATCGGGGCGCGGCGGCCAGCGGACGATGACATCGAGGCGAGCCCGCGGCCGGCGTTTCCAGGCATGTCTACGACGGGGCGAGGAGGCCGACGACGAATCCTTGTCGGGGCGCGGCGGCGCAGCGTGGTGAGCCCGCGGGCGGTGCTTGCACGACGGATCCACGTCGGCGAGGCAGCAAGGTATCCACGTCAGCGAGGTGGCGAGGCGAGGAGGATCTGTGTTGACGCGGCAACGAGGCGAGGCGAATCCGCGTCGGTGCGAGGCGCGGCGGATGCCCGTCGAGTGCCCCTGGCGATTTGGTCGGCTTCTTGGACGGCGACTTCTTGGAAGACCTCCGCTGCTCCACAGCGTCGAAGTCCCGCGGGAAGAACTCGATGGAGCCGAGGCGGCGGCGGTAGAGCAGCCAGGCCGCCGCCGCTCCCTACCGCCGTCCCCACCACCGTCCACCGCTCCCGACCGCCGCCGCCGCCGCTCCCCACCACCGCTCCGAGCAAGGTGAAAAAAGAGACCCGGGAGGGAGAAAGAGAGATAAGGGGGAGAGAGAGAGGGAGAGAGGGAGGAGGAAGAAGGGAAGGAGAGGGAGGATGACATGTGGGGCCCACATGTCGGTGGGTCCCACTTTTTTTTTTTTGTGTGTGTGGATGATATGTTGGTCCTACAAATTTTTGTTTTTTTGTTTTTACTCTAATTCCACATGAGCTACATGTCGACGACACGTGGGACGAAGACCGGGTCAACACCGTCACATAGGCGCCACATCAGCCAAAACCGCTTGCAAAACCACCTAGGGAGTCAAATTGCATCAGTTTCAATAGTTCGGGGAGCCATCTTATCCGGTTTTCTGGTTAAGGGGTACGAATTAGATTCGGCCAATATTTAAGGGAGTCAAAGTGGACTTTTTCCTTCGAAATATGAAGGGATAAAAAAATACAATATCAAGCCTAATAAATGATATGTATGTATAGTTTCGCATAGTTCTAAACTATATAATATATAATGGCTATAAGTATATTTTCATAAATTTATAGAACTGGTCATGAAATGAATTGTATGTATTTTAACATATAGCCGAATGGGCTGAGTTGTGGCCCAAACTCAGTGTGGGCTGAGAGGAAAGGGGAGGGGAGTGGGGTATTTTTTTCATTTTTAGATTTTTTTTAATATTTACAGAAATAATCTATCGGCCAAAAAAAATTGCAAAAATAGACCCTGCCGTCCAGAGGTGGGCGGCAAGCTGACGTGGCAGACGGCGGGTCGACCGCGCCGTCTGCCGCCATCGGCCAAAATTGTAATTAGCCCCTTGCCGCCCATACAGAGGGCGGCAAGGGGCTAATTGCAATTTTGGCCGCCCATAAAGAGGTTGCGCTCGTACTTTGTGCATTTGGGCCCCTTGCCGCCCCAGTAGAGGGCGGCAAGGGACCCAGATGCAAAAAGTACCGCCAAACGATTTTTCTATGTTATGTTAATAATAAATAAAGAATTATTTATTGGTAAAACTTGTTAATATTGTTATAAAAATGTATTGAAGTTGGTTGTTTCGCAATTTCATATGTTAAGTAAGGTATTATTTTGTAACTTATTCGACGTATTAGTACTCGGATAATTAATATAGGCCTATCGCAGTCTCGGTCGTAGAAACATTATATGGACTTAAACAAGGAGAATTATGTAACATGAAGAAATAGTAGTACAATTTGAACATGATACAACTATTTCCATTGCGGTTACATAGATGATATTAGATTCGAACTAGGAGGGAGGTAGTGCAATAGTTGAACACAACGACGATGTAGTAATGGGACAAGGAAGCATGACAGTAGAAATTTCAATATGCCAAGTTGTCCGATAATAGCTAACCCCTACGTGAGGATCCCTCTCCTCTCTCAAACCGCGCTTTAGTAACACTGTATTGCTCTGATAGTTCAAGCTGCACAACACGGCTAGGTGGAGTTAGAACCCTTATGGTGTCTATCCATTCTCTGTATTGACATCTTCTTGGTGGTTCCTGGGAGGAAAGAATAGATGTAAAGCAAGCAAAGTTAGTAAATGTTGTGAGAAAATAAGGATTCATGTAATCAAAATATTCTTACCATGAAATCGTCGTCAAGAATATTTGGACAAACAAAGAACCTTCGACCCAATGTTGTAGGCTTTATGGAACGAAGAACCTGACAACGATCACCACACCTACATCTTGGACGGGCTTCCCATGGAGGGAGTGCCGTAGTTAGCACCCGCCAGTCGCTCTGTTGTTCACGACATTGTCGTTCATAAGCCGTTTTCTCTGTAAGTATTGCTCAGTACTTTCGGATGCGAAATACCAGCGACCTTCTTGTAAACAAGTGGTTAGGTCGAGAACGGGATTATCTGTATCGACCCACTCGATGTATGCGCAAGCCGTAGTGCGGGTTTGCCGAATAGAGTAGTGTTACGAAGAATAAAACGATTGCCCGTACGGAATGAATAAGCATATGCAGATAATAAAATACCTCACGGTCATAGTTAGGGCACCTAAAAAAGCGCCTTCCTCGAATATCAGGATTCCTCGAAGCCATTAGTTGGCATCGATCACCGCATAGGCAGAGAGGACGCTGGCACCAAGGTGGTAGTAGGTATACACAAGGATCGCTACGCCAGTTCGAATCCTCAACACCCCGGCGTCTAGCCATTGACGAAAGCCGGTAGGATTTGTAATGAAGCAAGTAGGGAAGAGAGTACTGAATGTGACTGAGTTCTGAAAGATTGTGAGGCCTCACTCGTTAAGGCGACTTATATAGGCGCAAAAAATGAGTGATATCCCTGACATGTGAACGTGGAGGGGCATGGTTGGTACGCCTGATTGGGGCTGAAAGTTACATGCCTGATCGGCGCCGAAAGTTACATTGGTTGTATGCGGCAAATGGCAGGCAAATACTCGTATCGCACGCGAATAAAGGAGGCTACATCGGCGTGGCAGAAAGTAGTCGTGCATGCGCCGAAAGGTATCGTGCACATATAACAACAACGTATTCATTACACAAGCATACAGTACTGGAAAGTGAAGCAAATAAACAAAGAGAAGAATGCTCTACTGGCCCTACCCCGCGCCGCGACCACGCTTGGTCCTCCGGGCCTGTGCTCGCACGTGGTCCTAGGAGTAGGTGAAACGATCCGGTGGCACAGCACGGGTAGCACGAGTGTCTGGCGGCGGAGTGGCCTGCGCCTGGTCCTGCGTCTGCACCGGCGGTGCGCCTCCCAGCTGTGAGGGGCCGATGACGTCCTCCGTCGAGCCTGAAGCGAAGTCAAAGTCAGTGATGTCGAAGAGCAAGGTGGAAGGCACCAAGTGGTCCGACGAGGTCCCAGCATGGTCCAGTGGTGGACCCTGACTCGACGTGCCGGCTACCTGTGACGAAGTCCCGGTGTACTGCCAGAACTGCACTGAGTGCGAGGTCGACGCAGCTGCCTGAGACGCTGACCATGCAGCCTGGGAGAAGTGGGCGGCCTGCGTCATAGCGAATTGGGCGAAACCTACACATCGACTAAGACGCTGACCATCGCATTTGCTGCAACACTTCACCCTGCCAGCCTCCGACTCATCCATATTGTTGTGGATGCGACGAGTCTTCCTCCTTACAGCCTTGCCTCGGAGCTTCGATGGGTCAGGAATATTGAGTACTTCATCGTTAGTCTATGTGAACTCCCCAGCTATGCCGAACCCATAAATCTCGCCGCTCCATGTATGATATATTGCTTGCTTACTGAAGTACTGTGACACATATACTGCATCTGGTATGCCACACTCCGCTGCGGCAGCAATGACATGGGTGCATGGCCTGTGGAGCAGCTTCGGCTTTGCACAAAAGCAATGACATGTGCCGTCAGCTTTGAGAACACATTCCTGCTTCACTCTCTTGCGGTAGATACCCCTGCATGCCTTATCTTGACATAGTATCTCAAACCTGTGTTGTTGGGTACCTTGCACTAGAGCTCGATGTTTCATGGCCTTTTTACGCAACTCCTCTAGCTTTTTCTGCATGAAAGTTCCAAACAAAATGCTGTTGTTCGGCATAGAGGGAAGAACTGCCTGGAACCGATCCCTAAAATACCTGCATGTCCCATGTAAAATGAACTTCACTATGCCAACTAGTGGCAGTCCACGGACACCGCGCATCACCCAGTTGTAAACTTCTACCAAATTTGTTGTCATTATTCCATATCTAGCACCACCTGTGTCATACGCCTTGGCCCATTTCTCTTTTGGTTCATGCAGAATCCACTGAGAAAATTTCTGAATCTCCAATCTAGTTCTTCTAACCAATGTTGGACTATCCGTTGGGAGAGGTCCAAGAGCTTGAGGAGGGTCAGTAACGGCAGTCAATGGAGCCACTGCACGCTGATCACTGCATTTGGCTGTCAACTCATCTAATCTATTCCAAAGCTCATTGAATTTTTTTCTCCTGGTTCTGATTGCATAGCCTCTTAAACATGTTCATGAGCTCCTTATTCTTGAATTGCTTGAAGAAATTAGCTCCCATATGACACATGTACCACCTACTCTGTACATCTTCCCACACACCAGGGTATCCTCATTCCATACTCCCAAACTGCAACTCTTCTATCGCTCGCAGAATGCTAGCGTGCCTATCATGTATCAGGCACACATTTGGCCTCATACCAACAACTTTTGTTTTAACCAATTTCAGGAACCAGTACCAGCTGTCGGTATTCTCACTCTCAACAAAAGCAAATGCCAAGGGCAATACCTGATTGTTCCCATCTACCCCTATTGCTGTTAGTATCTGGCCCCGATACTTTCCTGTCAAGAATGTCCCATCAATGCAGAGAACAGGACGACAGTTCACGAATGCCATCTTGCATGCATGTAGAGCTAAGAACGCCCTTTGCAGCACACTCTTGCCAGGATGTTCAATCGAGGGGAATTTCTTCACTGCGTAAGAGCTCCCAGGGTTTCTTTCCTCGATAACACCAAGCAGGCGTGGCAAATTGTCATACGAGGCTTCGTAAGTTCCAAATCTCATCTCTATTATTTTCTGTTTGGCCCTCCAGGCCTTGGCATAGCTAACAGTATACTTGTATGTCTCTTCGATGTGTCGGATTATTGACCTTGGTTCATATGTGAGATTATCGATGACATGCGCATACATCTCAGATGCAACAAATGCACATGTAATGTTCCTGTGGTATTTCTGAACACCAGGTAGAAAACATGTATGCTTGGTAACGACTGACACTGTCCAATAATCCTTCCATTTCCCCTTATACGCGTGCACTCTCCAGGGACAACCATCTTTTTCCTTAACACACCGAACTTCATATTGCGACCGGTTGGACTTGGCAACCCAAAACTCTCTATGAAGTGACATTGCAAAATGTTTTACCGCCTCCTTCATATCTTCTGCTCTACTATAAATCGCTCCCTGAAAAACCTCATTTTCTTTGTACTCCCATCTCACACTATCCTCTTTAGAGACAACCAGCCAAGAAAAATCCTCACTAGCCCATTCTGCTGGATTAATATCCGTCTCATCATCTGACGAATCACCTTCCTCTACACGCTCGTTGTCAGAATCCTCCCTCTCCATTTCATCCACAATGGCACCGACAGTCTCCCCCTCGTCGGCCACTCCACCTGGTTGAATGCCCACTGGAGCTACTACGCCCCCGTCCTCTCGTGCGTTGACCTCCTCCACAGAAGTCTCATTTACTTCAGCACTTGGTCCCTCGCCATCATCCATGTTCATCTGCACACCTGGATCCTTCGGGTGAACAAACGGAACCATAGCTAGAGGCCACCCGCGTTACAATGCATTTTCCACATACCATCTCCATACTTGAGAATTTTGAACTGGCATTAGTTCCCAATAAAAACCCTCAGTTGCCCGACTTACTATAACATTGATTGTTATGTCACTTGTCTGTGGATCAACTCTCAAGCCTCTCATTAACCATCCTTTTATAGAAGGTACACTCCTCTCAACAGGTCTATCAATTCCCCTTTCTGATACAATAAAATCTGACAGATCTACCCCAGTTGGCCTGTAACGGACGTTTCCTGGGCCATGGTAAACTTGGAATATTTGTTTGTTCGACATATCTGTCAACGAAATAACTAGATCATATTACTCTTTCATGCAATAAACATCTACAACGTAATATCTTCTTGTGTATGCCAATGCAACGGTAAAGTATTGATTCCAAACTAGCAGATCTACGTAGTTACCGATATCTACAATACGCACTTCTAGATTAGTAAAACTAAAACCCTAAAAATATAATGCATTTATTCAAACAAAATTTTAAAAAATACACACTATTTAACTCAATAGTCACATATAGGATCTATGAATATTACCTGAAATCGGCGTCTGAATCCGGCAGGGCTTCGCCCCTTCTTCTCTTCTCCTCCCCTTTCTTCTTTTTCTTTTCACTGGATTTGAGGGGGGAGGAATGAGGGCTGGGGGCTGGGCGGCAGGCCTTTTATAGGCAGCGAGGCCTGCCGCCCGGCCAGAGGGCGGCAAGGGGCTGCCTGCAAAATGGCCGGCCCCGACTGGCTTTTTTTTATTGGGGCCCCTTGCCGCCCCAACAGAGGGCAGCAAGGGTTTTCCTGCAAAAAAACCTCCCTCCGTCACCGCCCGTCTCTCCCCCGTTTGCCACGTCAGCTTGCCGCCCCAGAGGTGGGCGACAGGGTCTATTTTTGTAATTTTTTTGGTCGATAGATTATTTCTGTAAATATTTAAAAAAAATCTAAAAATGAAAAAAATTCGGGGAGTGGGAAATTTAGGCCTAATGCAGAAGGGACGATGAAATAGGACCCAAGATGAGTAATTTAAGGCTTCTTCTTTATTTTTTTAATACATATGCGAAGCATAGAGTATATATACTTTTTTTTCAAAAAAATCTTGAGTATACATCTTAATACCCTTGAATCACTACTGGGCCCGCCCATTGGTGCAGTCGAAGCAACGACTGCAATTTTAGCAGCTGCAGTGATTGTCAAACTGAAGATTGAATTCGATGTTGTTCTAAAGAATGGGCGTGTAAATATGAGCACTCCACGTACAGTTAAAAATATATTGCATGTAAATATATTCCGGGAGAAACGACCATTTTCACGTGCAGGACAATCACAGTCAGCCACAGGGCATGTTCAGAACTATTTCATTTTGCAAGCCGAAACGTGGAAATGAACAAGCATATCGCTTACAGATCATACCATTTATCTTACAATTATCATTAAGAGTTATGAGATCACTAATTCAATGAGAAAACAATTAAAAGAGGATCTGAATTAATTTTCCTACTTCAGTAAACTATAAAATCCTTAATTTTCCAACTTTACAATTTCATTAAGCATGGCCAGCACAAATCTCTATGGTTGATGAGATCTTATGATATTGGGATTTCGATCCAAACTATGAAGTGCCATAATAAGGCTGAGTTCTTTTCCCAACTTTTCCAACTCACCTCTCTTGTTTTCCACACGCACACTTTTCAAACCGCTAAACAGTGCGATTATTATAAAAAAATTCTATACGAAAGTTGCTTAAAAAATCATATTAATCTATTTTTCTAAAAAAAAGCTAATACTTAGGTCTTGTTTGGTTCATGGGACTAATCCATTAGTCCATCTATTTTAGTCCCAAAGAATCCAAACATGGGTGACTAAAAGGGACTAAAAGTGCATATTGAGACTAAAATCCATTAGTCCTCTTAGAGCATCCCCAGGAGCTAGACATATTTCATCCTCCAAATACCCATATGGATAGTCATCTAAAAAAGATTCCTCATTCATATCCCTTCCCACTCCAACAGATCATCCATATCCCACCCTCCTATATTTTAATATCTTCCAACTAAACTTACTTTTACTTTTGTATTTTTAAGGGACATATTTTGAACTACTAAATTTTAACGGTGTTATTTATCGCGATAATATTTCAAAATGAGTATATTTAACGGATATATTTTTAATAGATAATTTTTTAATTTATATATTTGAATTGAGTGAAGCATTTTTTGGATATATTCGCAGCAACATCAATAAAATGAACACAACAAAAATATATCAACATTTGTACTCTATTCCTATTTCCTTTTCTCTACTCAGGCAGCACAGTCATGAACATACTGCTACTACTCTTTCTGTAGAGGAAGCATGTGGCTAGCAGGCGCGGTGGCGGGTGAGCTGGCGAGGGGCGGCGGCGGGTGTGTGGCCGAGGGTTGGCAGCGGCCGGGCGGGCGAAGGGCAGCTGGCGAGGGGCGGCCGCGGGCGTGCGGCGGAGGGTCGGCGGCGGTGGGTGTGTGGCTGAGGGTCGGCGGCGGCCAGGCGGATGGGCGAGGGGCGGCGGCGGACAACCGGACGAGGGCGCGGATGGGCGGGGAGGAGGCAGACGGCGGGAGGAGAAGCTCGAGGGCACTGCTGCGGGTGTTCGACGGTGGGAGGAGAACCTGGGCGCGGGTGGCTGACGACGGGAGCTCGTGCTATCGCGAAACCTCCAGATCTGGTACGCCTATTCCTCCCCACCTTCACTGCTCTATGGCTCCAGCAGCCAGTGTACCACGGCGTCGCCTGCTCGTTCCGGAGGAGGGCAGGAGCTCGCGACGGATACGGTGGATGGGATATGGCGTGAGGAGAGAGAAACGCCAAATCTCTCTAATATGGAGCACACGCTATTTTTAGATGACTAGATGGAAGATCTGCTGGAGCATCAATTTCCTTAGGACGGAGTACGGGATGGAGTTGCTGCTGGTCATGCTCTTAGAGTTATTTATAGGAACTAAAGTGGCAACCTCTCTTCTCTCTCCCTTGGTCTATGTACCTTTAGTTCCTGGATCCAAACAGTAGGGGACTAAAGTTTTTAGTCAAGAGAGTAATTTTAGTCTAGAGACTAAATGATCTAAACATGACCTTAATTAATCATATGCTAATGGACTGCTCCGTTTTATGTGCGCAGAAGATTTGTTTCCAACCAGTAGGAACGAACACAGCCTAAGGTATCATCAGTCTGTTACACATATTTTTAGGAGCAACCCAACCTGTTTATCATCAGTAATTTGCCACAATGTGCTGTAAAAAGTGGGACTGTTTAAGCAGAGTTCCAGCATGTGGGCTGAAGGTATGTGTCTGAAACTGCACATAAAATTCATATATAAGGGGATAATGAAAATGTCACATAAGATTCATAAACTCAAAGGTTGCTAATAATTTAAAACAAGATCTCGATAAATCATACTCCCTTCATCCTAAAATATAAGCATTTTTAGTATAGCGACAAGTCAAACGTTTTTAACTTTGACTATTAATAGCAAAAAAAAATAAAAACATCAATCATATAAAATTGATGTTACTAGATTTATCATTAAACAAACTATCATAATATGCAACCCTTTTTATTTAAAACATCTTACTTTTATAGATATTGTTGATCAAAGTAGTATCTCGGAGACTGTTCAGAATCCAAAAATGCTTATATCTTGGGACGGAGGGAGTAGCATAACTGTACAAGCGAAAATATTCAGCACAACTGTAAAATCCTAAGTTCACTGGTTGAGTTCAATATTTTCGATGCCAATTTTTTTTTTGACAAAGGGCATATAGCCGTGCTTTACTGAAAGTTTAGGGCCCCTTTTGAATCATAGGATTGAAAAAATAGAGGAATAGGAAAAACACAGGATTTTGATAGGAATGCAAATGTAAAACAGAGAATTGCAAAACACAGGAAAAACACAGAAATGACCGTTTGATTGGACTGCCGGAAAAACGCAGGAATCAGATGAGAGAGATAGACTCAAGGAAGTTTTCCAAGAGGTTAGAGTGGATGTTAAATTTCCTATGATTTTCCTCTAGAATCGTAGAAATAGGAAAGTTTCCTACGTTTTTCCTTTTTTCATTCATACGAATCAAAGGCATAAATAGTGTAGGATTTCAATTTCTTTGTTTTTCCACTATTTTTCCTCCAATCCAAAGGGGCCTTAAGGTTTGAGATACAGCAGTTCACAACTGGGTTTGCCAGCTAAACAAACAAAGCCCAGAAACACAAAAAGGCCTTATCCTGCAAAGAGAAGTACTACAAAACCAAAAAAGGGGCAGAAACGGCAAGCACCCGACAGCTACAGAAGCTAAAGCACAAGATTCTCACACAACTTCAGCTTCCCACGTTCATGTTTTGGTTTAACAAATTGTTTAGTGTGCCCCAATATCAATACGATCTAAAATTACACAATTATCGAACTTCAATACAAAGAGAAGTGGCATACAATTAACAAAACAATATGCAGATTTACACTAGCACTAATACTTTTCACACGCAAAACCGGTTGAAGGTGAAGCCACAATTTTTACCTGAACTTCACGGAATCGGCGACAGCGCAATAAGACATCATCGAATCAGGGTTCAGCAACGGCGGGGATGACCCTGGTGGGGGCAAGATGGGGCAGGCATGACGAGGACAAACAGCGCGGGACACTGTGCCGACAAAGCCTCCGGATACGATTTTGCTAAACGTTAGATGGCCATAAGGCTCAAGGCTCGGCACGGCCATCTGGCCCGACCCAAACATGGCATGGCATGACTGGTGACGGGTTCGTGCCGGCCCAGCCCGACAGTTGAGCCATGCCTGTGCAGATGACTTGGCACGGTGGCGGGCCGGCCCAGCATGGCACACGGTCCAATGAGTAGCAAGAAAAATAGTAGAGGGACCCAAAATAAACTTAGTTGCCATATAAACTTATCGCCTAAAGAGAAGAGGGATGCAAAATAAACTTATACCAACCATATAAGACTTGGAAAAAGTACACCGAAGGTCCCTGAACTTGTCATCGAGGTAAAAAACGTCCTCAAACCGCAAAACCAAATATTCGGCGTTCCTTAACTAATCAAAACCGGTCACAATAGGTCCTTCGGTGGTTTTGAACCCAGTTTTATCCGACGTAGTGGTTGAGTCAGCGTGGGATCCACGTGGGCGCCACATGTCAGGATGCCACCTCATTTCTCTCTTTCCCCTCTTCTCTCGCAGGCCGATTAGCAACGGGCGGGGCTGAGCGGCGCCCGACAGAGGTGGCGTGCGAGCGCGCGGCGGCTGGCGGAGCAGAGCGACAGCGGGCGAGTGCGTGACGGAGGGCGAAGCCGCCGTACTTCCCCACTGCAGCTGCCGTCATCGGGAGGAGGAGCCGCCCTCGACCACGCGAGGACGCAGCCGAGACTAATCGACAAGACAATGATGGACGCTCCGCCGAGCAAGCGCACTTGCATCACCGCCGGCAGCAGCGGCGGCAACGACGATGAGGCCGATGCCGATCGGCTAAGCTAGCTACCACTGTCGGCGGCGGCGAAAACAAGATGGCGGTGCAGTGGGACAAGCTCGAGTCCATCGCCTACCCGCTGCTGCTCACCCACCGCACCAGGACACTCGAGAGGTTCTGGATGTCCGTCAACGTCGCCCGCGGGATGGACATGGGATGCCCTCCGCCACGTCGTCCGGTGGGTGCACTGCGGTGTCCAGTGCTTCTCCGCGCCGGTGGAGGTGGAGGTGGTGGCCTAGCTCACTGCTTTGTCGGCGCCCGGCGGCTCGTCGACCTAGACCTCCCCGCTGCCTCCACCGGTGACTGCTACTACTACCGCCTCCGGAGGCTGCACCTCACCGGCGTCTCGCTCGGAGGCCGCTTCGTCGAGCAAGTCCGGTTGCGACTTCCGGTCTGGAGGACCTGCGGCTCAGCCATTGCGCCACGAGCTTCGCCGATATCGCGTCGCGGACGTTGACGAGGCTGGTCATCCACGGCAATGCCGGCCGCGGCAGCGGAAGCAGTGGGGAGCTAGCGTCACGGCTCCCCGACTCTCCTCCCTGTGCCTCCTCTCTCACTGGCCTCCACCGTGCCTCCGTCGTAGGCCTCGGAGCCACCGTGCTTTCCTGCTGCAGCCGCCGCCCGCCACCGCCCGCGGCCATCGCAGCTCCGCCCTCCTCCTCTCCCGCGATAGAGAAGACTGAGAGAGAGGAAGGGAGTGAAGAGAGGAAAGAGAGATGAGGTGGCATCCTGACATGTGGGGCCCACGTGGGTCCCACACTGACTCAGCCGCCACGTCGAACAAAACCAGGGTCAAAACAGTCGAAGGACCTATTGTGACTAGTTTTGATTAGTTAAGTGATGCCGGATATCTGGTTTTGCAGTTTGAGGACATTTTTGTAACTCTATGATAAGTTCAGGGACCTTCGGTGTACTTTTTCCTATAAGACATAGCCCAAAGAGATGAGGGAGGCGAAATAGACTTATTCTATGGAGAAGCATAATGGGCTATCATGCTTTCGGGCTAACCCGGCACGACCCGAGTCTTATTGGGCCGTGCCTAGGCCGTTGGTTCAGCTTGTGGGCGGGCACGGCCCGGCCCGACGTGTAGGTCGAGCCGTGCCGGCCCGATTGACCTCGATTCGGGCCCAGTCGTGTTTGGGCTGTGCTAGGCCGGATGGCCCATTTGGCCATCTATACCAACGGAACTGCGATTCGAGCAGGTCTCACACGTAGAGTCGGTGCCACTCCTTCAGATCAATGCATTAGATCGCTTCTCAGCTGTTGAATGAAATGCAGCATAGTTAGATGAATATAGAGCTCTACCCATCTCACATACAGGCACCGGGTGAGGCTTGTACCACGGGAGGCCATTCTATTTTGTACTATAAGTACAGCACTAATACAAGGCAATCATCTTTGTGTGCTATTCTCTCTTTGCTTGCACTCTTTCAGGATAGAAAGACTGGAAAGGCATGTGAACCGTTTGAACCGGTAGAACCGGGCGATTTTGAGTGAACCGGCTATTAAACCACCTGGTTGAACCGACAAGGCTGGACCACTCTCAAAATGGGCCACATCAAGGCCCAATTACTTAACTAGCCCACCTTACCATGGTTCTTTTGGCAAAAATAAGAGGAAAAAGTTGCTCCATGAGGACTCAAGTTGAGTCACTCAACCCCTGGTCTCCATGTTCAAAGCGAGCTGCGCTAGCCAACTAACCATCCAAGCAACTATATTTTACAACACATATATAGGGAGCATATATTTTGTGAATCGTGGTTAAACGGTCTGACCAACGGACCGGTGAACCAAGGGATCGACCGGGTCACCAGTCGGTCTGGTTTTTCATACTATGGCAAGTACCCGTGCGCGTAGGTGCTCTCAATAGAGAATATAAATAGAAGAGAGAGTTCACTCTGCTATCTATCCCGGAGATGCGAGGTTAACCAGCACGAGAGAAACTTAATGGCTCTTCTGTAACGGCTCTCCGCCAGGTACGTTAAAAAAACGTAACACCTAGAAGGAGAGCACCAGTCTCGTCTTGGCGCGCGTGTGGCAATCCCACCACCACCTCAACCGCCCAACGGGTGCTCTTAATTAGCAACCTATTTAAGTCGAGGTCCCTCCACATTGCTTTCCAATATGATATTAATCCCTTAACACTAATTATGAATTCATGAAATTTACTAGAATTAAATTGGACCTAGTCCATTTAATTATAATGTTTCGTGAATTATGTGGTGAATTAGAAAAATGCCAACCATGTCATTTGACCTGTCCAATTTCTAGATTTATATGGTTACTATGTAGAGATGCTTTTATCTGGAATAATAAGGCTCCTTTAATTTCTGATCAGTTCTTTGAAGATGCTCTTATCTGGAATAACAGGAGATATCAAAAGTCAGGAGGATAAAGTGAAGATGCTGCTTGCTGGCAACTCTGGATTACCAGGAATCGGCTAATATAAACCGTGGAAGAAGGCTCGGCTGCTGGGTGCTTCCACGTCAGAATGAAACAGTATGGGATTTACTGTTTTCTTCCCTTTCAGTTGCAATTGGTTTAGAGGAGGGGAAGTGTTTACACCTAAATTTGGCACCTAGAAGTAAAATAGGAAATATTGCCAAAGTTTAGAAGTATGTCGGTTTCCTCCGAGTAGGCTGGTCTAACCGCCGTGTGTTGGCAGGTCAGACCGCCGGTTGAGGGCCGGTCAGACCGGCGGCATGTGGCCGGTCTGACCAGCAGGTCCGAGTCTGAGTGTGTTTCACCGGGTCTCGAAGTTTCCTTGCTCGGGAAGGAATGTTTCAGGTTTCCTTTGGATTCTATCCCGAGTTGGACGTGGATGAGGGTTTGTAGAGGGCAAGACCAACCCCTATATAAGGGACATGCCGGTTCAATTGTAACTAATCAATCTACAATCAATCAATTGAATCGTTTTTCATATTGCTTTTAGTTTTCTCTTAGTTTGTCCATCTCTGTTGATTTGCGCCGTAAATCATCCGCCGCCGCTGTGAGAGTGCGACACTTCTTTGTAGGTTTGTCCTGAAAACCTTCCGTTTTACCCACGAGACGGGTAGTTATCTAGGAATCGGCTCCGCTAGCCGGTTTAGTTATCAAAACCTATCTTGGTATAGCTTTTGCTAGATCGAAGTGATTGGCGACTCTAGAATCACCGCAAGGCGTTTAGGTGTTGTGATCGTGCTTGTCAACTTGTCATAGAAAGTTGCCAACAGGAAGCTTACGTGATAAGAAATACGATCTGCTAATTCTAGAATTCTACGCAACTTTTCATCCGAGGCATCGCTACTCACTCCGCTTTTCTGGTCTCTCTTCACGCGGCGCTCCGATCCTCCTGTCCTCTCACCGCCGCCACCACCTGCTTTGGCTTGGTCAGTGATGATGATGGGGAGCTCCGGCGCCGGATCAAGCACCGTCTGTGAGCGATCCCTGTATTGATCCCTGTATTAATTCTTTTATGTTCTAGGGTTGTGCGGTCTAACCCGGTTCTTGGTCCGACCTCCTTCTGCTGCGCTTCTTCGCCCGATCTGGTTTCGCCTGTTGTTGATGCAAGGTACGAATTGGTTTGGATTGATTCAGTGATGTTTCGGCGTGGATTGCTGATACCGATTCCTATTGCTATTAATTTTGGCAGGAATATTGATTTGATCAAGCGTGGTACTTTCTTAGCGCTCGATATTCATGATCTAGGGATGGCAATTGTGCCCGTTTACCCGTTTGTAGAAACCCCATTAAGATTGGGTATGTTCTTGGGTATTTTGTTGGGTCAAATGCTATACCCGATGGGTAAACAGGCATGTGCATAGGCAAATACTACTCATTACCCACTTTGTCCGTTTACCCGCTAACTAATCTGTCATGTGGGGTCATGAGTTAATATTATCCTCATCAATTTATAACACATCCTTGCGTTACTATGATCTTATAGTAGGGTCATGAGAATTCTCTATAGCCATCGGGGAGGATGCCAGAGACCATCCCCAAATCCAATCTCTCCTTACTCCCTTCCTATTCGCTCGATGAGAAAATGGATCATATGCCACTATATATGTGGGGTTTCGTGAAATGCAACTCAATAAAATATAATGAATAAAATACCACTTAGTATGTTGCCTACCAGATAAAATGCCACTTTGAGTTCTAACCATTTTATGACCAAAATACCCCTGACTATAGAGAAGGGGGAGCGCCAGGGAGGGCCGGCCGGGTAGCAATGGAGGCCTCACTGGGTTGATATTAGTGATATACCCTATAGGCAATCATAGAGATGATTGTATCATCGACTTTGTTCCTTGAAATAGATAACTCATTATTGGTTAATGAATATGTGATTCTTTCATGAGACTCTTTATGTTATGTGTTGCTATTTCTAAAGGATCCTGATCAAATATCATATGTGGAACAAATATGTTTAGATGATCAGCAAATGTATTAATTGATGATCATGTCTCATGGATCATGGTATAGAGATACCAAATTAATAATGTGGACACATGTTAGTGAACATGTTGTTGGATAGACCCAACATGAGACACTGCAAGAGCCATATGTGTTGTGTCATCAGTGATCTCATTTAGTGTTGATGTTGAATCCTTAGACCTGAGATTATCATGGTTCCCAACATGTGTAGTAGCTTACTTAGGGACTGCTAAACGCTACTCTGTAATTGGGTAGTTATAAAAGTAGTTATCGGATATGCTATGAAACATGTAGTGGAATATGAATAATCAAGATGGGATTTGCCCCTCCTATGGAGAGATATCTCTGGGCCTCTCGATGTTGTAGATTATGGAAGTGCATGGCCATGCCAAAGGTGATTGAGGAGTCAATCACAAGTTATATAATCTATCAACAGGTTCGAGTGAATGATTGAGCTATTAGAGGATGGCACATATCTAGCCTTGAGCTTAATCGATATCGTGAGGCAAAGGAGTTCATACAAGTATACACTAGAGATTCAGCCAATATGATCTTTATGTATGTCCGGTGGGTCAATACGTTCTGCTAGGGGCCGCTGTTGTCGCGTGGACCGAAAAGGAGTTTTCGGGTTACAGCCGAATATACATGAACCTACAGAGTCGCACGCTTAATGGGCCAGAATAAGGGGATTGGATGTAGATCCAATATAAGCTTAATTCGGATAGGGATCCGAATAGGAGTCCTACGGGCCTTGGAGGCCCGAGTGATGGATCCTATATATTCGTGAGGGGTGTGACCGGCGGAGGCATTGCATCACGTGAGAAACCCTAGCCGTCACTTCCCTCCCCGAGCAAAACCCTAGCCACGCGCGGGTGCTAGCACATCTGCGTATGGCGTTCCGGCCCTGTACGTGTGGATACCGGTAGAGGCGCTGCTGGTTTGCGGTGCTGATCGGCATGGGAGTACGGCGAGGAGAACACACGAGGAGGAGAAGGTCGAGCCGGTGCGATCGACTACTTCCTCTACATCGACGCGCGCTACTTCGCAAGAATTCCTTCGACTTCTTAGCGCATTTTTCCGCTGTACAGCGCGTTGAGTGGTAATGATCTATGATCTAATACTTTCATGGTTACTGGTTTATGCGATAGAACATTTTGATTTATGCTATCGTAGCCTACGCATATCCCAACAGTTGAACCATCGCTTGTGTGGGGAAGCCACGTATGGCCGCCATGGCTAGCCCATGCACATGTCGGGCCAAACTCAACATGGTCAGCGTTGATTCGGTTACAACACTTCCAAAGAGAAGGGCCCCTACGTACTGTCCGGAAAGATCAAGCATCTCGATCACGGATCTACCTGTCGCCTACCACCTCAACCTCAAACAGAAGGTGATCACCATTGCTGCCTTAGCCCCAAAGAGACCGCCTTCGTTGCGGAAACCAGCGGTCATCGTCCCCGTATTTGACAATAGGGTCAGTAGATCCATGTCATCGCTGCCACTACAGCCGTTGTCATTTAGGGCCTCATCGTTTGGATTTTTTCGTAATAAGCCAAAACGGCTTATTAGAGAATAAGAATGAATTTGTAGCTAAAACTTTTATATATATGTTCTCGGTGACTTAAAAGCCAATGCTGAAAAAGAAACTACGTTGAAAATATCTTAAAATCAATGTCAAAATTAAGTTTGAAAATTCAAATTTTGGCTTTTTCTTTGGTTGAATAGACCATCCGATGGAAGCTTACATCTTGCTGGGACTTATGGAATGAGAAGGCTCTACTGCCACCACGGTCCTTGCAACCGCACAGTCTGCTCCAGTGGTGGCGAAGCAGGGAAAGGACTGGAAGGAAGCGGTGGTAGTGCAACATCGTCGACACCCGAGTCACTCGACAAGAGCGACACGAGGACAAGATATCTGGTACAGGGGTTCACAATCCCAATACCGGATCAAAAATCACTCATGGGCGATATCTTTAGATTTTGTGGAAACCATTGATAAATCGACAAAATCCGGATAAATCTTGTCAAAAATTTAAACTTCTGTTTGATTCTTTTTAACTTAACTAAAAACGGAGCGGTTTGTTTTTCCGACCTGGTTCAGGAAGTTCGGAATTCGGATTGTAAACCCTAATTTGGTATAACTCTGTTAAAGTGTAAAATAGATATGATTCAATTATTTAGAAGCTCTGAAAGGAAGGGGATTATTTTGTTTCGAAACACAATACGGGTCCAGGTACCAATATAAACACGTGCACACTCACCCTTAAAAATGCACATACACATCCTACCTCTATGAGTATCTTCAAGATTGAGCTAGCATATCACATATCTTCATATTCACAAAGTCACCATTGGGTCTCGCAGTCGGTGGTATGTCGTGTACCAGTGAAAGAATACTTAGTCGTAAATGCGAATGCTCATGTTAAGACATGTACCTAAATGGATAGATTTTACCAAAAAAAATGAACTAGCTGAGCTACGTTCACTTTGTGAAAAGAAGAGGATTATAATTAGAGATGAAAACTATTGGAAACGGAATCATTTTTTATTATTTTTAATGAAACAGTCGGAAATGGTCAGAGAAATTCTCTATATTTAAGAATTTCACTGTTTAGTATTAACTTCAGTGTGATGGTGACAAAAATTAGGAAAAACTAAATTTTAAAAAGGTAATAATCGATAAAGATATTTCTATTATATTAATTATTTAATTTTATGGAAGGGAGTAGCTATATTTATGGACTCATATTTTTTTTAAAAAAAAGTCAGCATACATTTACATTGTAAGTCTCTAAATTACCTATGTAATTTTAGTGTGTTTACAATGTAAATACCAAAATTACAAGTAAATATCAAAATATCGGTATCGATCCGGTCAGAAAATTTCCTACCGTTTTCATCTTTAATTATAATTCATCTAAGATCAGACTTCTTCCTTTGTTACACATTCTTATATGATTCTTATAATAGTGTTGCTTTCCACTTTGCCTATCAACTACAGCTTGTTGCTCCACTAAGCCGTTGACTATAGCAGGACTTGTAAAGGTGTACAAAAGATATACACAGTGGCAGACACAAAATATTCTGAACCTTGGCGAGTCGTCGAGCCCGGCCGATTGCTCAGGATCTCTGGGCCCCTAGGTCTGCCGCTGAATGCACCCTATCTGAACTCTTGTCAATAGATACACCAATATCATGAAGAGGTCCTAGGAACGTGGAACAGTAACAATTGGTGGGAAGAATATCAGATGGAATCCACCAATTTAGTGAAACCATGACACTAATACTACACTAAATATGCCTACAACTTAAAACAATTTACCAAATGCAAGATTGATAGTACACTGTATTATGTAAAATTTCAAGATCAATCTTAATTTCGCTGGGAAGTTATGAAATTGACAAATAACGAAGCGAGCACGGTCGAAACAATTTAATTCGGTTGCTTACGATTTGATATCACTAGTTATGAATTTCATATATTTCAAAGAATTGCGTAGTATTAAAATTAGCAGATTACCTACACAACACATGGTATGTTCTATAACTTTCTGAAAATTCTTCACAGTTTGTACAGTGGTTTTCACAATTTGATTGGGCTGGTGGTTCCGCGGTACTTGACGGTCCCTGCTGAGTGCCCAGTGCACACGGTACCATCGAGCTGGCTAGCCACGATGAGCTGCCGATTCACTATTGCTCTCACTCACGAATTTCGATTCTGTCAGCGAAATATAATTACACTCAGATTAACAGATAGCCAGAGAGGGTCATTAAAAAAGCTAGTAACTTTTCACATTATGTGCATGGTGGTTATTCACATGAAAGGGAAAAAAAAAGACTAGAAGTGCTTTCTCTTCTTTCTTTTTTTTTCTTTTTTCTTAATCTGATCTGAAAGCAAAATTTAGACCCGATCCAGAATCCCTTGGTCCTCCTCATTTGCCATGGCCTTGTCCCCTTTCTTGTACTCCCCATAGACGTAGGACGAGAAGGCCCAGAGGCAGAGCAGCATGGCCACCGCCTTCTCCGGCCCGAACTCGTCGCCGAACACCACCACGCCGCCGGCCACGTTCACCGCCAACAGCGCCGTCATGCAGATGCCGCCGTGCAGGGACGTCGTCAGGAACACCGTTCCGGCGGTGCCAAGAAAGCACAGCTGCCAGCTAAGCACCGCCGCCCCGACCACCGCGTAGTAGGCCGCCGGCGACAGATCCCACGTGGCCTCCACGCCGTCCCACGGCCACTTGCCCCCCGCGGACGACACCATGCCGGCCGCGCCGACGGCCGTCGCCACCGCCTCCATAATCACCTGCGCCTCCACCACCATCCGGAAGCCCGTCACCCCGCCGTGCCGGTACACGAGCTCGGCCGCCGGCAGGTAGAGCGCGAAGAGCAACGCCGCGCCGAGGGTCGCCGCGACGCCGACGAGGTAGTCCGGGCTGGTGGCGTCCGCGCCGCCGCCGCCGCCGCCCGCGCCGTGGCGGAGCGCGAGGAGCAGGGACGAGAGCGTGAGGAGCACGACGGCGTTGAAGTTGGCGAAGGAGAGCGGCACGCGGACGAGCGCCGCGGCGAGCGCCAGCGTGAAAGCCAGCTGCATGGAGAGGAGTAGCGCCGTGGTGGACACCGGCAGGTACGAGGTGCCGCACGAGTAGAGCAGGTTGTTGAGCCCCATCACCAGCCCGAGCAGGACGCAGTACATCACCAGGCGCGGCGTGAACCCGGCGAACGGCCGTGACGCCGGCCGCCGCGCGCACATCAGCGGCAGCAGGAGCGCCGGGAATCCCGCCGACTGGACGAGCGTGGCCAGCCACCGGTCGGCGCCGCCGTGCGCGAAGTAGAACCGAGAGAGCAGGCTGGACGAGAGCGACCCGACAAACAACGCCGCGTAGTTCGCCGCCAGCAGCAGCGCGCCCCGCGCCGCCCTGCTCTTGAGCACAGGGAACTCCACGGCCGCCGGCGGGGAGCAGAGTAAGAGGCGGTCGTCATGGTGGGCGTGGGCGAGGAGGGGAGTGGTGGGAGAGTGGAGCTTGGCGGCTGTGTCCATCAAGAGTGGAAGGTAAGGGAGGGGGAGAGGGACAGGATGGGGGTTTGCAGTTTGCTGCCTTCCTTGATGTTTATGGTCGTCTGCAAAGGCAGAGAGGCATATTTCAAGGGATTTTGCAAGGTATTTTCTGTGTAAATTGAGCACCGTTATATTAAACCCAAGTTGGTGGCACACGACATGGACTCGTCGATGATGGATCGTACTACGGGTACTCCAGTGGAGTGCAATTATTTGCTCTCAAAAGGATGCCGCCCTTCGCTATCACTGATGTGTCCCTTCTTCTTTTTTTCCCCTTTTCTTTTGGGGTCCTACATGGCAACATCCTCCGTATAGATTAATAAGCTTGTGTCTGAATTTCCCTTGAATAGTTATGTATTAGTACTAGTCTCCAACGATCAATCATCAGCTCTGTATGTATTACTAGTAGGAGTATCTCTGTACTCTCTGAAGAACGAACGATGGAGTATGTAGTGTGTACAAGTATTATTTCTTTCCCCTCTGTTTTTGGATGATTGCTGGGGAATAATATCTCGCTTGTCTCACATGTGAGACACAAGGGGGAGAGAAATTCCTGTGTCTGTGTGTCAGGTGCCCGGAAAACTCGCTAGAAACGTCTGTGCTATGCACCCAGCAGAGCACTGAAACAGCACATTTTTTCTGGCATCCGGAGCGTTGTCGTTACCAGGGAGTGTTGGGGGCGATTTTTCTTTTCTTCACAGCTATGACGACATCGCGTGATGAACTGGTGACAGACAAGCTTTTGTTATTGGGGGGATATTCTGTGCTGCCAGGTCTGTTCTTTCGTGCAAACATCTTCTGAAAGAAGTCCCCTATAGTGCAGTGCAAAATTACGCAGAACATCCGTGTGCATCAAAGTATAATTTAGCATCAAAGTATGCATAATTTATACAGTATGCTTCCAAACACAAGCTACAGAAGGCTTAAACAAACACATGTACACGTCGCAATATAGTACTATAATATAATAGAGAAAACAGGACGAGAAACAGCAGGCGTACGTTGGACAGGGAGAAGCTTTGGTGGAAGGTTTCGGTGGGCATGAAATCAATCGGTCAGATGGGATCTACTCCCTCCGTCCTTAAAAAAAAAAAATCCTAAATTTCCGTGTCCAATTGTAATTGTCCGTCTAATATGAAATTTTTTTATAATTCGTATTTTTATTGTTGTTAGATAATAAAACATGATTAATATTTTATGCGTGACTTGTTTTTTTAATTTTTTTTATAATTTTTTTAAATAAGACGGACGGTCAAACGTTGGACACGGAAATCAGGGTTTGTCTTTTTTTTTTTTTTTTTTTTGACGGAGGGAGTATATCTGTATCTATGTATGCAGAAGAAGAAGAAGAAGTGAAGAAGAAGATGCATGGTCCATCTGCCGGCGGAGGGGCGCGACAACAAAGTGATCGAAAAGGCAGCGACCTACCTATGCAGATCGTAAAACATGATCGGACATGGGCCCAGCCGTTGCAGCTTTTCAAGAGCCGATTGCCCACAGACCGTGGGACAAAAACCTGCCCACTTGATGGCTTTCCGCATCTCGCTTCTCTCGGAGTAGCTAGTGGGCGCAGCAGCAGCGCGTGGTGGTGGGTAGGCGATGAATGTGAAGTTCAGTGGTGTACCAGTACAGCCGCGCCTGGGTCGTCCCTATCAACAAATAGAAGGGGATTTAGGCTCTGAAATTAATTTAGGCTCTATTCTGTGCTACTTTCTTTTTTTATTCCAGCAAATCAATTTATTACGCCTAAGAAAATGTATTACGTCCATCTGCGAAAATATTCCCACCAAATTTTCTAATAGTATATTTTAATCAATAATGCTACAATTAATTAACTAATACATAAATATATGGTAAATTTTGCTATAGGACATTACGATTTCGTGATTTTAGCCGTAAGACACTGTACAAACTCCCTTTTGGGAGAAGACACTCTCTAAACATGGTTATTTGCCAGCGAACACCGTGCCGATTAAAATAGTATATTCGTGCTGACGAGGCGAAAGCTGAAAGGGGGCTCAAATATTTACACAGAGTGACCAAATTGCCCCTCATTTCTCTCCATCTTCTTCTCTTCTTCCTCCCTCCCCAGCATCAACGCAACAGAGGAGCCGGCATCGAGGTGGCGGCCTAGAGGAGGCGAGGGTGGCAGATCCACGGGCAAAGCCTCTTGCTGCACCGTCGACGCACCACCTCAAGCCATGGGCGCATTAGCAGCATCCGCTGCCGCTAACTCCGGCCCATGCACTGCATGGCTCTGATGCTCCGCGTCCATCCCTGCATGGCGCCCTAGCTCCTCCCAGCACTCCTCCGCGCCACCGCTTCTCCGGATCGAGGACAACACCACCTTCTCCGTCATCCTCCTCAATTCTGATTCCGATTCTGGCCAGCGTCCTCTCCTGCAACTGTGCCATTGGCCGACTCATTCCTAGCTTCCTCGTGGACCCCATCGTCCACCCCATCGGCTTCCTGCTCGGCATGCCGGTTTTCTCCACCCCGACTCGTCCGCACCGCTTCACCACGCCGGTCGATGCCGCCCTTGCCTCCTCCAGGCCACCTTGGATCCACCTCCAATGCCGGCTCCCCTGAAAGAGGATATAAGGAGCTAACTGCGGAAGTGGAGGAGTAGTGGTGGAGCCACGTTAAAACTGTAGGGTCAGCTGACCCCACATGTTTTTGCAACATACACCTTGATCATGTGAAAAATAGTGAAAAAGTACATAAAACAAAGAAAATTTGTATGGATTGACCCCACATAGTTGCATATTTATGCATTTTGACCCCACAGGGTTGAGAACTTGGCTCCACCAATGTGGAGGAGGCGAGGAAGGAGGGCTGGCCAGGGAGCCAGGGCGCGTCGCTGCTTGCGCATGCTGAAGGGAGTCGGGCCACCATGCTACTGCGACGGAGGTAGAAGGGGGGGGGAGGAGGGAGGACCGACCCCTTAGCGTGAGCCCGGGAACAGGATCGTGCTGCCCCGCCGCCCGCGCGTGCTAAGGGGAGCGGGGCCACCACACCACCGCGACGGAGGTGGAGGAGGCAAGGAAGGAGCGTCGGGTGGTTGCCAGCAGCGAGCGGAGGTGGTGTTGTGGCTTGAGTGTGAGAGGGAGTGAGTTGTGGGGGAAGAATATGTCAAGTGGGCCCAGGGCTATTTTTGACCTTTCACGCTATTTATCTCTCCTATTCAACCAGAAATTAATATTTTAATGTTTGCAGTGTCCATTAGCAAATAACCATATTTTGAGAGTGCATTCCCCCAAAGATCGACTTTTGACGTGTCCTAAAGCTAAAACCACAAAGTCGCAGTGTCCTGTGGCAAAATTTGCCTAAATATATCTAGCAACTAATAGACATGTAATACGGATATAATACACATATATTGTATGCATTAGTGAAAAGTGCAGGCCATACAATAAGATTTACAGTACCGTCATAATTATGGATTATATTGTTAATTACACAAGCACATGACTCCACTCCCCAAGAAACTTGGACTCTTCACTTATCGCTAAGCTGCCTTCGAGGTTGAAGAACAGTCCATCTTTATGGTAGCACTCATGGTGGATGAAGTGGTAGAGGTCCCGCTATATGTTTTTAGTGCCTTCATCATCAAAGCTAGTTCGATATTCGATTCTAGACAACAGCATGCACGAGAATATATAGCAATATCAATTAGATGTGCATTCTATCATTAAACTTATACTTTGAGTTGAGAGAATTACATTAACCCGGAGGAACACGCAAGTATAATATCCACAAAGGACACAACCTTTAGGTTCCTTGTGACACTTCATTATGACATACATATAGAAGGAATTAGTTATACACGCAGGCAAAAGAAAGTAAGTAAATAAGTGTGTAGAGTATGTTTAGTAATTATATTCTCATATGTATGCACTAGCAACTTCTCCCTCCTTGCCAGTTCTTCCTCGCCTTTTGCTTTGTAGTTGTTGTACGCACTGTACACATAATAGGATAATAAAGTTTGTATTAATGAACACAATTTAATAATTATTAACACTTCATGATAGTACACATGCAAGGATAAGAATATCTTACTATTAATTGAAAGATTGTTAGAAATTGTCTATATGACTTGTGATTATAATCGAGGGAGTCGAGGACTGTAACAGTCCCATGCTTCGGGTAGAGCAAGAATAAATGTAATGATCGCTACATAGTAATGATGATTTAGTTAATCATAGATTAAATAAAGATATATACACAGATCTACCAGACTTACTTAAAATTTTATCTGGCTATTATGACTCTTCTATCTTGAAAATTTAGGAATGCTTGTCCAATATAGATGGCCACAATAAGCAACTTGGTTTTGTGCAAGCCATTCTTATATTCCTTTATCTCTTTAGGTGTCTTGTTCTTAAGCTATTTGGAATTTTCTTGGAGAGTGATGATATGATGTGTTTGACAAATCCTTGTTCGGTCCAGGTAACCGATGGGTTGTCGTGTCTTCTCATCATCCATGTATTGCATCCTAAAAAAATGATTATTAATCATTTTCGGGATTATATTGTCTATTTATTTCTTTGTATGAATGTGCATTTATACTCACAGGCACCATGCAACCACAAAGTTCACGTCCATCTTTTTACGGCGGTACACGACGTGAAGGTCAGCGAAATCGAGCCATAAAAAACCTACACCGCTCATGAAAGCTTGGGGCGATGTTCGAAACGTTATGGACGTAAGCCCTTTTTTGCTAGCATCCCTGTACCATTTATGTAATCTTCTCATCTCCTGTGGACCTTCTTCAAGCATGTGATTGGACCAGACGACTTTCCATTTTCAAACTTCGCCGGTACTTCATCCGTTGGAATGTATTCCTCTCTAGCAAGTTCATCAACCATTTTCTGATCAATCAAGCATTCCTTGGCATGTTTTATCCCAACTCGGAAGGTGGTTATCATCCACTTCTCCTTTTGCTTATTCTCTGACTTGGGGGTTGTGGCTTCGTAGCACACTAGGCACTTTGGACTTATTGTTGCTGTTGTCATCATCCTTGGGTGTGTCTATGTCCTCTTTGGTGGGGCATTGGTCTTCATACACATCGAGTTCTATTTCTTCCCATTCCATACCCGTTGTGTCTTCTGG